TTGGCTTCTCCTTCAAATTGGATTTGAAAGTTATGAAGAATGGCGAAAATGAAATGCATGCAGGGAATATGGACAGGCATGATCGGTGGAACTATGATGCAGACTCTGATTCTGCTGTGGATCACTGCTCGCACTGATTGGAATCATGAGGTAACTACCTTCAACCCCCCCCCCCAAAAACCAAATCCCACTCTCTTAAGCCCATTATTAAACTATTGGGCTTCAAAACCCAAAATGATTGGGCTTGGCCCAATAAGTACACGGATGACTCATGTAAAATGGGGACAATGCACAGGTGGACAAAGCTCAGAAGCGAGTTCGCAAAGTGGCAAGATCAGAAAGACGCTGAGAGTCCGCAGCGCCCCGGTTGATTTCCATAATAATATATAATTATTTGGTTTAATGACACTTAAATTTAAATGAATGAAGTAAAGTGGGTATATACAAAGAGAAAGCATTTAGAGGTGACATTTGATTCCATGATTTTCCGTTTGTTTGTTTTTGTTACAAAAACAATTTTATAAAATTGTTTTTTGAAACAAGTTTTGAGAATAAAACGAATAAAAACATATGTTTGGATAATTATTATAGAAAAGCACATTTAAAAAAAATTAAAAATTACATTTGTGAAGTGGTGGCCGTCACTGACAATAATTCCAATTTTTCAAAATACAAAATACCAAAAAAAAAAAGAAGAAAATATTTAAAAATTATTTTGGTTTTTTAGTTTTCAAAACCATAATATTGTTTTTTTAAACAACCAATTAAAAACAAATTAATAAACATGTTTTCTTTAATTTTTTTGTTTTTTAAAAAAATTGTTTGCAAAAGCAAAACAAAACAAGCTCTATATTTTTCTTTTCTTTTGTTTTTATTTAAACAAGCAATTAGTATTAAGAGCTTGAAATTACAAGTAAAATCAATCTCGCGACCTCTCATTTGAAAAGAGAGCTTTTAAGTCGGTAAGCTAGCCACAAGGCCTTTTGTAAACTATATTTGCTCATTGACAATGGTATTTTCTCACAAACTAAATCAGCCTTTTATTCTTCTTATAAATGCATGGAATGACGAGGAAAAAATAATTTGAAAGGATGTGAAGCAGCATCAAGCTGCAGTAAGTAAGACGCCAAGCTAGGAGTAGATAGAGTCATTCATGGCTAAAGATTTAAAGCCTCGCTCTTTGTTATTTATAGATTTGAGAGATAAATTAGTAATTAATTACTCAGAAATCAATAAAAAAAAGGGAAAATCCTAATTAAATCTTGCTGAAATACTTAAATTTAAATTGAGGCCTACACTTTTAACAAATTCTTAATCAAGACATAAGACCTAATTAGGAATTGCTGAATATTGTTAAATAACTATAATGCCCCTCTTTAGTTAAAAATGAAAATTGATTATTTTATCCCTCTAAAGTGGTTCATCATCTCTTATTATTAATATTTAGACAAAAAAATATAAATAATTTTTTAGTGTTTGAAATTTTGTAATATAACTAAAATCTTCAAAATATTTTCATAAAACATTTCAAATTATAATATAAGTAATCTTTAAATAAATATTTTTTTTCAGGTTGTAAATATTTATTTTAAAATTTTAAAATATTTTAATTATAATAAAAATTTAATATTAAATCGTAATCATTTACGTTTTTAGTTGGATCCAACATTGTTTAAATAAATAAAACTAATGTAAATTATAAAAACTGAAAATAAAAAAATTTATTTAAACTTTACTTATATTTATAATTTTACTTATATTTGAAATTTAACATGTTTTATTAAAATATTTTTAATAGTGTAAGTTATATATACAAATTTCAAACATTGTAAAATTACTTATATGTTTTTTGGTCTAAAAAAAATCATAAGAGATGAGGAATTACTTGGGAGAGGTATATTAATCAATTTTTTTTTAATTGAAGAAGGGCATTTTGGTTATTTAACAACATTTAGAAATCCCTAATTAGGTTTCATGGCCTGATTAAGAATTTGTTAAAAGTGCAGGCCTAAATCTGAATTTAGGTATTTCGGCTGGATGTAATTAGGATTCTCCCTAAAAAAAGGGCTATATATATATATATATATATATATATATATTACAATTACAACGAAGTAGCAGCATATTCTAACTGGTATATTCTGGCCAATGGCATGAAAATTACAACACCAACCAGCTTCATTAAAGCAGACACATGCCCTGAGCTGACTTGTTAGAGTAGCCCATCGGTCCACCTCAGTTCAAAGCCTTCCAACGTGAAGCCAAGCACATATATTTATATTGTAGAGAGAGAGAGAGAGAGAGAGAGAGAGAGAGTTGAAATGAATGGTGGGGTTGCATGAAAGATGAAACCACACCGCGCTTGAAGTTAGACCAGAGAGTGCCTTATATGCATGAACCTCGCGATTGTGCGTGCAATTCCAGATTCAACTCTCTTATTTTATTTATAGTCAATTACTTCTATATATATATATATATTTATGGAATTGTTCAGAATGAACCCGAAGCAGAGTTTATTAATTATCTGCTTCTGTAGAAAGGGGGCAGCTCCATTACAACACCATTAACAAGAATTAATTAATTGTGCTCAACTTACAAGATAAGTCATTTTAACTAATTCATTAGTATTAAAAATAATATAGTTAACTCATTAAATGTTTTCCAAATTGAAAGTTTTCCTTTTTTCAGCTTTACCCATATTAAATGAGATCATAGAGGAGAACGAAAAACACAAGTAGGTATATTTAAGGATAAATTGCAAGGACATAATTGATAAATAAGCATTAATTACTATCTAATTACTTACTCCTCTGATTCTATTTATAAGTTACTTCCTAGATGTTTCAGACAAACTAAAAAAAATCTTAAATTTCATTAACTCTCATTTAAAATTTAACAAGTTTTTAACTTTAACCCTATTTAATAAACATTATACCTACTGTAAACAAAATCAACATAATAACAAATAAAAGGTAAAATTGTATATCTATATAAAAAAGTTCTCTTAATATTCTATAAATAGGACCCAAAAAATGTATTCTTTCTGTGCTCTATAAATAGGACCAGAGGAGTATATTTTGAACCAAATCATTTTTTTAGAAGAAACTCGAAGGGAGTAATATCGATAAGCATTGCAAGGAGTATATTTGGATGGAGGGATTATTAGGAACTTAGTTATATAATCAAGTCAATACTATAAAAATTAAATTTTAGAAGTTGAGTTTAAACTGAATCAAAACTATAAAAAATTAATTTTTCCTTTTTATTTTGAGACTTTTATATATTTTGATGAACGGATTGTATGTATTGACTTGTAGTCCATGAAAGTAGAAGATGAATTATTAAGGAGACCGTGGTTTGCTAAGCTATTAGGGTACCATTCAGAACTGTCATGATATATAAATTAAATATATATATATCAGTTGCCTATTTCCACACAAATAATAATAATAATAATAATAATAATAATAATAATAATAATAATAATAATATTATTATTATATTATTATTATTATTTTATTATTATTATTATTATTATTATTTTCCCTCTCTAAAATGCCTTCCCAATCTACATCTCTACATATTCATATGGTATTCACCACCAACAACATTGGCAGTTGCATTACAGTATGGAACATTCAATTGTGGTTTAATTTGTAACTACCACCGGCCAGTGACTCTTTTTTTTTTTTTTTTTAATCTTATTTTAAGAGAGATAATAATTTAAAATGGAAGTTCTTAATTATGTTGGGAGATATTATGATGTCAACATATATATACATACATATATGTATGCATGTATTCTTTCTAATAAGACAAATAGTAGCAAGTGAATAAGCTATAGAGATTACTATAGGATGACGCGCATATACACACACACAAAACTATATATAGCACTATAATTAATCTTATCATTACTACTACTTTATCAATATCTTTAAGTTGATAAACATCATTAAAACTGATGAAGCAGGTGAAGATGTTATTTTCCTATACGTGCCTCAATGATCATCACAATTTTTTTCCAAACATAGATATTTTCTTAGTGGAAGCAATCCTATTTGAAACATTGTCGGACACCCTTCCTAATAAAGATTCGAATATTAGTTCACTATATTATGATAAATTAGTCCCTACAGCTAGACCTAATCATCACAAATTTATGGATCTATTTAAGCTTATTATAAGCAAAGTGGAGACTAATCTATTGTTGGGAGTGTAATATTATATTCCAGGACCCACATAACCATACTCATATATATATATATATATATATATGAGAAATTAAATTTGAGGAGGAAACTGTTATAATATAATGAACAATAAACTGCACCTACTCTTCATAATTGCATTATTATATGCATAATTTATCTGACCTCACGTGTCAAGCTTTCAAGTCTCACACTCTCGTCAGAACTTCTCATACGATAAACTTGAAAATAACATAAACATTTAATTACTTCCACCTCACGATAAGTTTGTAAAAGCTGCCACAAGTTATTCCATTATTACTCTTCATTACCATCATCACATAATCCTCGTTCTCCTTAAAATTCTGAATCCAAACTATAATCTGCAATTCTACCCATTTGTGATGTTAGTTATTGATCTCTCTCTAGCTGCTAGACTGATATATTTATATATATATATATATATAGCTATAAAAGATCTCATAATTAACTGGCGAAAATTAAAAAAAAAAAACTTTCCAGATCCACTTGATCTCTTTAATCATTCAGATAAAGGGGAAAACATATGAAAACCCCGCAGATTATGGAGTTCATTGTATTTGTGTAGAATGAAGGAGTACATAACAAATCTCCAGTATCTGAGAAACATGGACGCTGTTACCGACAAAACAGACACGTACGATAATGGAGATTTCATATGCAGTATCCATGTTGTGTATCAAACGATCCAGTATATCTATATGAGACACAATAATAATACCAAGGAGTAGGATATATATATATATATATATATATATATATAATTGAAGATCACTTGAACAAAGGAGGGAGGCTTATGATATTCTTCACGGTTTTCAAGTGAGCCATGAGGTGTCCATGAAACCCAGATTTAGCAGAAGAAACAGTGGACTGAATCCTCTTCTTGAATCTCCTCAGTCTCTTTCCTATTTTCACCTTCAGCTTCGATATTCTGATCCTTAACGACCACGACGACGATGACGATGATTTTGGTTTTCTTCGACGAGAATAATAGTAACCGTGATCAGCTTTCTCCATCACCTTGTAGATCAAGAACTGTGCTCTTCTGTGCTTTATGTCTTCTGGGTCTTCCTTCTCCACCTTTGAGTAGCCATACGCCTTCCTATAAATTGCCAGAGCCATCATTTTGAATTTTCTTCTTATCCAACAAAACAAGATACAGAAAGGCAATATGGATATATGAAGCCTAGACGATGGGTTTGAATCTGATATATATAGTGGTCTTTTTTTTTTTTTTTATTTGTAAAGTTGTATTTGGAGAATTAAATATTTATAACCCCAAACCAAGGTGAATAAATAATTAAATATTATTAGAGATGTTTATTGATTATTAATTACTCCATAGGGTTGAAGGTGGGGCCATGTGGCATGTGGACTGTGGACTAATGTTTTAATAGAGAAATAATGGAGGGGATGACTGATCTGTTCTTGAACTGGACTTGCATTCATCAGACTAATTAATAAACTTGCACTAATTAATTATTAAATTAAATATATATAAAAAAATTATTTTTTTAACTTTTATTTTAGAAGAGGAATAAGAAGATAAGGACATTACAGTTAAATAATAATACAAGATATAATTAATTGGGAAATTGATTAATTTTTCTTCTCATACTAGACAGTCCAATTATTTGATTATTTTTTTTATCGGATCTCACATATACAGGGCCTTCATGAAGTGTCTATGGTTTGGGTTGTTGTATTAAGAAAATCTTTCTCGTTAAGTGCATATGTAAGCATTATTGGTATTTAATTAATTTAGCAGAAAGAAGTTTTTTTTTTTGGGGGCCAAAGCAGAAAGCAAGTTTACATAAACAATTTTCATGATTGACATTCGACATTTTAGTAGTCTTTCAAACATATGAATTTCTTTTTTTAATTTTAGTTTTTTTTTAAGATTTATTTGATCTTTCAGTGGCTACTCTATTTTTATATATAGACCTTTCACACGTAAAGCTAATTAGCAAAATCATTTAACGGAAATGATTAACCAAGTTGTTATATTTTAGTTTGTGAGTTGGACGTTGAAATGCATAAACACCGAATCATTTTGGATCATATAAACCGACTTTTATTTTGGCCAGCATGATATAAAACATGTCGTTTAATCTAAGTGGAGGCGAAATGGACTGTAAATGAAACGAAGACATTTTTTTTTACAAAAATTTTTAAGATTAATTTTTAATTAGAGCAAAAGTTCAATTCAAAATATTACCAAATCCAACATCGCTTGACCAAGGTTTGATAAAGGACATAGTGCGAGTAGTTTTTTATTTCTATATAGTTTCATTTAGGTCAAAGTTTTTATAGGCTCTTTTTGTATGTTAAGAAATTAGTTATTAAATTAAAACTAAAGAGAATTGCTATAAACTATAAAGTCTCACATTTTTAGGATAAGAAATAAAGTTTTTCATCGGAATTTGAATCAAACGAGGGATCCTTTAACTCTTAAGGGATTTATAGAACGAATTGCACTTTTACCACTAAACTATACCCGCTTCAATGGGATTATTGCATATAAATGAAACTTTTGTCCAACAAAACAAGGGGATAAAAAAAGAAATAGAATCATAAAAGAATCATAAAGAAAGAACATAATTACTAAAAAGTCATAATAACAATAATACAATTTGTAATGACAAATTTCAATATAAAAAATAACAACTTTTTAAATGTCATTAGAATTTTTTGATAGTTATTTTCTTCACGTAGAACCTTAGTTTAAAATTATAATTACCTTTTGTTAAAATTATATGAAGATTGACTAGATTGACAATAATTCCAAAAACTGATTTTTTGATGGAAAAAAAATCACAAGAACATTAATCCAACAAACAACAAACAACAAGCCTTATCCCACTAGGTGGGGTCGGCTACATGAATCACACGACGCCATCGTGCTCTGTCAACAACCCAATCCTTAGATATGTTGTTGATTAGGAGGTCTCGTTCAATGACCTCATTCAGCGTTCTTCTCGGTCTTCCCCTGCCTCTTTTTATAGGACTCCATCTTGTTTGATCCACCCTCCTCACCGGGGCTTCCAAAGGCCTTCTCTGCACATGTCCAAACCATCTTAAGCGATTTTCAACCATTTTCTCTTGGATAGGTGCCACACCGACTCTTGTCCTGATCTTTTCATTTCGAATCCTATCTTTTCTTGTATGACCACACATCCATCTCAACATCCTCATTTCTGCTACTCCGACTTTGTGCTCTTGTTTTCCCTTTATTGCCCAACATTCACTACCATAAATCATAGCTGGTCTTATAGCAATCCGATAAAATTTTCCTTTAAGTTTCTCAGGTACCTTCTTATTGCAAATAACTCCTGTAGCTTTCCTCCACTTTAACCAGCCAGCTTGTATTCTATGAGAAATGTCTCTATCAATTTCCCCATCCTCCTGTATAATGGATCCTAGGTATTTAAACTTTGAAACTTGAGGAATAATTTGCTCTCCCATCCTCACCTCCAAATCCCTATTACCTTGCCTCCCTCCAAAATCACAATGCATATATTCTGTTTTATTCCTGCTCAAACGGAAACCTTTCGACTCCAAAGTATGTTTTTTTTTAAAAAAATCACAAGAACATTAATCCAAATTGACTTAAAACCTTTGTGATCAAAACACATGCACTATGTTTTCCAAGAAAAGATGATTTTTTTCTCTACTCAACCCTGTTCCTTCAGCATTATTAAAATAATGTTTGATAGAAAAATTCACTCACAAGATAGGATCAGATCACAAATTCAGAATCACACATATAGCAGCTACACAATAAGAAACAAAACGTTATTGTCGCATCTTTATTTATTTTAAAATAAATTCTTACACAAATATTAATTACGTGTGATTGCATTTAAAGTCACCTAACTCTTTATTTAAATGAATTTTAAGACGAAAAACTCGTACAACTTGATAGACGAATCACAAATGTATGCATAGGAGGCCAAAAAAAAAAAAAAGAAATTTAATTTGGTTGGTTAAAAGAGATAATGCCGCGCCCGCAAATGAGGGGTGTTGATCAAAGCTGGTTATTATTATTTGTTTTGCCAATAAAGATGATTATTTTATTATATGGAGTGCGTTCATATTCTAATTATTAATTATGTATCGTATAAGCTATATATTATCAATATTCAATTAAGGTGCGTTGACCGCAATAATTGCCATTTAAATATGGATCCAAGTATTCTCTGGTCAAAAAAAAAATTATGGATCCAAGTATAGGCGTGATGAGTCAACAATTTGAACTACAACATGGAATTGTATATCTGTAGCGTGTATGTATATGCTAGGGTTAATGTACAAATTTGCTCTAGAAATTTGTTTTAAAAGTTTTCACTTATAAGCGCTAAGTATCTGAAAGTTTTTTCTAAATACAATTTTGTCCCTAAAGTTTAAAATCGTACCAGTTTTGCTGCTAATATTAAAAATGCCAATGATCAATATCGCTATTCTTACGGCTAACATTAGTTTTTTTAACAGTAAGAGGTAAAATTGCTACAATTTTAAATTTTCGGGACAAGTTTGCACAAAAAAAACTTGGATACTCGACACTCTTGAGCGAAAACTTTCAAAACAAATTTGCATATCAACCCGTATAAATTATATCTAAAGCCAAACTATCTACCTCTTTCGATCTTTTATATAAAAGCTAGTATAAATAATTGTGTTGAATCTATTTTATCTTTCAAATTTATAATTTTTCCAATACCCTACGGGAGTAATTTTCAATTCAAATTAAATTATTTAAAAGATATTTTAGAAAAGTTAACACATATATATTCTTTAAAAAAAACCAGCTTCAATGATTTTTTTAATCTCTCTAACTTAATTATATAAATTCTATATTTAAAATCGAAAAGATTATTATTTTTTGAGGTAAAAAAAATCATATATATAACTAATTGTGCGAAGATGTGATGTGAATGAGATTTTTCATAAATCACCGACCTAGAAGCATTCATTAAATTTTGCTAGCTTTGATCACTACATCACTTATTAGAACCTTGTTAGGATTGCATGTGACTTGCTCAATATGAACCAGACCAAATTTCAACGCGTTTATTGGATCTTTCAAACTTAAATTAACACATGGTGGTGCTAACGATTATGATACATGTTAGAAGTGGAATTAAGGGGGGAAATTTTAAAATTATATACTCCCTCCTATCATAAATATAGGACTCAATTTGTATTACAAATTACACTACAAAGCGAGTCTTATATTGAAAACAAAAGGAGTACAAGGAAATAACGACATTTATATGAACTAGAATACTAGATTAAACAGTAAAACTCTAATGCATACAACCACATATTTTGTGAGATAAATAATGATTATACATGTTAGAAATTTAATTTGAGACATTTTTACTAATCTTCATAGGTTCACTTAGGAGTTAGGACCAAATAGGATGTAAAGAAGCCAGAATTTTCAAATGGGAAATTTGGAAGGAGTACTACTCCATTGGAAAATTAATTCGGAATGGTCCCTGGAATCATGTTAAGAATTAAGTCCTTCGGGGAGAAACAGATTTACCCATGAAATGGCCACACTTCCCTAATGAAAACACCAAAAATTAAATTCTGTTACGTGCAAATTACATTCTTAATGTCCAAATCACTCCGCTTATGTGTAGATTAACTGTGCAAATGACATTTTCTTATGTGCAAATTACATTTGTGGGTTGTCGTTTGTCGTCAACGTTTAACGTTGTAGTTTTTCGTGGGGAAAACCAGATATATTGTTCACTATGTGTATGAAAACACAATTAGATTATTTGTAGGGTATCAATAATGTAACATTACTTCCAGGTTCCAACCTCATGGTTCATGAATAGTTTTTTCCCCTGTTTTCAGTATTTTTTTATTTAAATAATTACCGCAGCTTTTCATATTATCAATTATTATTAAAATTTAAAATGTACAACTAAATCTTTCATTACACGTTTTCTTTTTCTTGAAAAAAAACATTGGCCAGCTACATAAATAGGATGGCAGGTTCATCAACCTAGTTGAAAAATTAAGCAGCTAAACAAGAGCTCAGCTGCAAACAGTTAACATCTCCGCAAACAAAGAAGAATCAACAATAGTTACGCACAAATTTAAGTCTC